GCTCCCTGCTGTTGTAAATAGAAAGACAGAATTATTTTGGCCTCATAGTAACTTGGTTTAAATGTTACTGCCTGTATTCATTAGCAACTCTTCTTTTTTTTTGGGGGATGCATGAAAGACAATCCACTAGTACATCTCTTAGTCCAGGAATACCTTATTTGTTCTGGTTGAATATGCACTAGGCTTCTTCTAGATGAAAACAGATGAAAATCTGCAAAATAAGAGTTTACAGTCTGTGCATGTTTGCTGCTAACGTCCTTAATGTTATCACTCAGACTTTAGATGGTAGTAGCTACCCATATTTGTTTTGATTGCACCATATTCCCTGTTGATTAAATGATGGGGAGATGTTATTTTCACGTAACAAAATGGCTGTTCCTTCTCTTTACAATTCTAATTTGCAGGAAAAAAAAGTTCTTCATTGCACTGCACTGATGTTGTCTGATGTTCTTTCTCCTTCAAGTTAATCTCTACACAATTTTTTTTGAATGTGATAGTTTTTATCTAAAAGGAAGACATTCCTCCAGTATTCTGTGATAAAGTACTGGTAAAAGTATTAATTTCAGAGAATTGAGTAAAAAAAAAGAACAACCTTTTAGTGGTAGTGAGAACAGCCTTAACTTTTTCCCTTGCATAGATTTCCTTAGTTGTGGAGAGCTGGAAAATTGATTACTTATTGATTTCATGATGATTTTTTTTCCAGCACTCCAAATGGCTCTCTTGTTAAAATGAACTTTTTACCCTCCTCTTTCTTCCTGTTTCTCTGTCTTGTTCTCTTCGAAACATTAATTTCCCCTAAAGAGGGCCCAAACACTAGTCTGTCATTGTCGCTGCCAGCAGATTATAATTTAAAGCTGCCATTTCCTATTCCTCACAAACAAGGGTATGTTTAGAGTATTTAATTATTAGAAGGAAACACTGATGAGCAAAGCTTAGCATGATTTATAATGTTTTGGGTAGCGCAGAAGTTTTGGCAAAGATTGCTTTCATTGCTTTTATCATCTTTTGACCTGTGACAGTAACTTACTATTTAATATAGTTGAAGGGGGCATATTTACACATTGCCTTTGGTTCTGTTCATGAAAAATTTCTGCGCTTCGCACGGAACAATTACTATTACTAGTGCTGCTCTTTGGATTTATATCAACTGCAGGCACTGTCATTGAGACAACTGCAGGCAGAAGCTCTCTTTAAGAGGAAATGTAATGTGATTCCGGCTTACAGGATGGCTTAATAAAGGAGTTATTAATGAGGTTTGAGGTTTAACAGAATGATTTCATATTCTTTTGAGAAGATCTGCCTTGTAATTCTAGCTGTTCTGTTAGTTTTGGGGAAGATTCTTAAGACTGAAGTCAACAAAAGTCAGGACAATCACTCTTGATACCTTCCTGGTTGATATTTCAAATGTGTGGAACATACATGTAGTTTAAGAGGACTTTAGCATTTTCAGCTCTTTTTTTCCTGCATTTTTGTTGTAAGCACAAACCGTACAGCACACTTGCCTTCTTTTGATCAGACTAAATCTGATGAGAGTTAGTTTTCTAGGTTATCCTGGAATGTAGAATAATGCATAATGGAAACAAAATGCTCCCATTCATGGGATGAAAATATGATTTTGTTTGGAGTGTTTTTTTTTGGAGTGGGAGAGGAAATATGGCTTCACCAGTAAACTCTTTTTGATTATCTATTACCTTTCAGAAGAGCTATTTATAGACTTATGTGATTGAAGTAGAGAGGGAAGTCCATTGCATTGCATTTGGTTGATAGTAGGAATGCAAATGGTGTCATCCATGTGAAGAATAATAATGGCTTTAAATAAAAAAAGGAATGCTTTTATAAATACTGAAACATGCCGAAAAAAACAGCAGGAGAAATGCAATTAAAATATCGTTATGAAAGTGTAATTCTTCCTGTATTATACAGGAAGAAATCTGTATAGCAGTGCTTGTCAGTGAATCTGTGATGTGCTTTAGTACAGGAATCTATGCATATTTAATTTGTCCTGTCCGTTTTCATTATCTATGTGTAAAAATGATAGTTGTTTTCATTTAAGTTAGCACAATGTTTTATAGTACTGAAACATGGCAGATAGGCAAAGATATTTCACCTAGATACTAAGTAAAGTTAAAGAAAACATTTATTGAAGCCATCAGAGATCTGTGTTTCAGAACGAAAATACTCAAGTAGTGTGGACTTATTCTAAAATGTGAAACGTTCTGCCTTCCTTGGACAACTTTTTTTGTAACCTCCTGAAAGAGAAAGTTTTCAAATACTGTGTGACTAAGAGAAAATACTGTGTCAGACCTAATTCAGGGAAAGCTCTGAAACATGCTTCAGCTTTCACTGCCTAATTGCTGCTTCAAGAGAACAGTGTGCAGTAAACAAATGTTTCAGAATTTGAATCTCTTATCTCTTAACAGAACAAGCCATTGAGAGCAGCTCTTTAAACCTAGTCTATTTTTGAAGCATGTTGCACATGAAGTTTATCTTGGTTTTAATGTAAATTTTTGGGTTTATAAATGTAAATACAGCCATAAAAAGGAAGAATTGATCTATTTAAGCAGATTATAGTAATTGCAACAGCACAGGTTGCTCTTTTTAATGCTAAGTGACAGGCGTTCCACATACAAACTACAAACCTGGTATCTTTCCATTCAAAGATTATAAGAGCCACCTTCAACAATATAATAATGCAGGGCTTAATTTCTGCAGTAGTGAATTTATTAACACATAAATTGGTGAACAGTAATGAGTTCTGGGCAAAATTGGTCTGGAAGAGAAATGCTAATACTAGAAACACTGAAGTCTGGTACAGCATGGACCTCCCCAGAATTTTCCTTTTGTTCTGCTGGTCAACTTCTTAAGGGTCTTCCTATTTCAGATTTATTTTGCTCTTTTGTCTTCAAGAAGTAATAGATACATGATAACTTCAAAGTAGTCTGTTTTCCCCTTTCTTTCATGCTTAATTTTTTAGTAAAACAGTTAACATGAATGTGAAGAATAGACTGATTGCTTAGGAGTTCTCCAATGATTCCTTAGTGACGAAGCTTTCCTAACATGTTGAAAGGTTGATTTCAGTCCTCTGCTTTCATTTGTTGTCACTGCTGTGTGTGCGGGTTTTAAGTTTGGGAGCCCCTCTTAGGGGTGGCTGGTTCATAGTTGAGAGATTCTATGAGAGGAGATAACTGTTCTGGAACAGAGCAAATAAGTTGGCTCAGAAAGCTGCTGCTGTTGATCAACGTCTGTATTGTTAACAGATGTCTGTGTGTTGCATCGATAAGTAGTAAAGTGCTTGTTCGTAATAACTGCCAGGAGGCAATGGTTTTGTGGGTTTAGTGTGTGGCTTGTCAAGAAATATCTATATCAGATGGGCAAAGAAAACGCTAAGACTTTTAATTTTTAGTTTCAGGACAGTGAATTACTGAAAGAGAAAACAATGCATTTCCTTTTCAAGTGTGACTGTTTATCCATGGATCTCCTCAACAGACAATTGGAAGAATCCTCCTTTCTTCTTCCAGACCTATGAATAGGCAGTCGCTCATTTGTGCTGGCAAATATTCATTGACACCTTCTACTAATCACTGCTGGAAACAATCACGTTCGCTGATCTAGCAGTGATGGAGTAGCATTGATGGGCAGATTGCCTGCTTTTCCATATAAGCAATGTGAAATGACTGGAAAAAATGCTAAAAGCTCTCTTAGCAAATTCACAGTTTCCTATCAGTTGTTTTGAGGATGTCATTGTCTTCTGCTATAGAAAGCTTTCTTACAGTGTCTATAAAGCTGTCAGATTCTGGTCATTGGAGATGTTTTCTACTGGAGTTGGACAATACAGCATTTGTCATCCCTACCTAATTGATACTGCTAGTCGGTTTTGTTTTCTGTCATCGCTGAAAGATTCTTAAATGTTCCTTTTTGGAAAGAGTTTGTTCTTTCATAAGACTTTATGCTTATGTTGTCAGGGTTTGATATGCACTTATTCAGAAAACACAGTATATAAGATGATGCCTGATTTTTCATTTCTCTAGGTCTCTGTATCTTTAAAGTGTCTTCTTGTTAGGTCATTCCAATGTAGCAAAACTGGACAAGATACTTCTGAATATCCTTTGAGGTCTTTGGCATATTTGGATAGGATTTGGTTATTAGAATTTGCTAGGAATCAGTACAAAGGAACTGCTGTTACTACTTTTTATGTGTTTAGCTCACATTTATTATTGGATGAACTAATAAATTGATGACAGATCTTTGGGTTTCTATAGTTCATCTTTCTCTGGGAAAACACAGCGTCATTGTCACTTTTTATCTTAAACTTCTGTATGGCTTGTAATTGGATTTAGTGATTTTTTTCAAGTTGGTATTTAAATCCGGTGCTATTTTGGGAAGAATGTTACTGCAGTGTATACTTAAATAGTGTGGATTATGTAGGAGGAGTAAGAAATCCTTACTTTTAGTTCCTTAATATATACTGAACTCCCACAAGTTGAAGAGTATACAGAGGGCATTCAAAGAAGTAAAACCATCATTCTTGTTAGTCTTACCTGTAGGGAATTTCTTTCCCATCTGTAGCCTATGTAGAATATTGAATTTATTGTCCATAAATAAGTCAACTATTTAAGTCAGTTGTAAAATATTTATTCAGGTGTTTTGATTCCTGAGATGCTTCCCAGAGCTTTCTTGAAGATCAGTAGCTCATTCATCTCAAACATGGAGACATGAAGGATTGGTACTGTCTCTGCACAAGCCAGTCTTACCTAAAAAATTTTTCCTAAGCACTTTGCCAATAGTTTAAAATACCTTCAAAGTGATTATAGTCTTAGGTGTGTGTCCCCACCAAAATGGAAGTAGTCTCTATTAATATCATTAAGATTTTGCCATTTCATGGTGTATGTGTCCTGTGTGCATTTCAGGAGAGTATTGCCTTTCCTATTTAGAACTAGGTTACTACTTTGTTTCTGGAGTGTGCTTGTGGTTAATATTACCTTTCTCTTATATTGTTTCAGGAGTACGATGATGGTTATGGAACTGCTTATGATGAACAAAGCTATGATTCCTATGATAACAGCTATAGCACTCAAGCACAAAGGTGAGTCTTCAAATCTGCTGTACCTACATTTGAAATATTGTACAGTTGGAAAGTTAGTTTTACTAACTAGTTTAAGAAGAAATTGAAAAAAATCTTTAACAGCAGAAGTGTTACGACGCTTATTAGGAATAACCCTAGTGTTGTTTATATCTAGTATCACATAAGTATAAAAGTTAAGTTACTGAGTCGTTGAAAAGAAACAGAAATAATAACTTGAAATAAAGTTTTAGTGATGACAAATTGTAAAACAAAGTTTTTAAAAGTTCAGGAATTTGAGGAAAATTTAATTCAGATTCATTTTCAGAAAGGGGGAGGGGCAGGGAGGGGAGAGGAGGAAAAAAAACTTTATAAAACATATTAAATTATCTGAAACGCAGACCTGATTGCGGTTTCTTACTACTTAAACATGGTTGTATTCCCGTATTTTACCTGTATTTGGCTGTAAAAAGTAAACCCTTTAGTTTGTTTTACTCCTTCATGGAATTGTCTTTGTGACTAATTTGAGTCTCTTACCATTTGTGTTCCTTCTCCCACTTCATTCTCAGCAGTATTTTTAAGCACTTCTGATTTATTGTCTTAAAATTTACTTTCTTCAAAGGAGTTGCTATCTGGAAATTCCAGGCATTACAAGGAATACTAATGTGTCCCAATGATGGGAAAAATGCTGTGAAGTACAAACTACTTGTATTCGGTGGTAGTTTGAACTTAATGGCAAGTATCACATGACATTATTTAGCAGCTTGGCTGATAGTCTCCACTATTAGGTACTTCTAATCTGCAGATCTGGAAAGAGAACTTTTGTGCACCTTTTACTGGGTTTTATTTATTCTGACTCTTTCTCGTGGACCAAGCATTCATAGTTTGATCAGTAGTAGATTCTGGAAATTCATTGATAATTTCTTTAAACTTTTCTGGCAATAAACTTCAAATGGTTGAAATAAGAGTGTTGAGAAAATGGTAAAATAAGATAAAATGCTATAGTTCTGCATTACTGCTTTGGTTATTCCAGGTGATTAGAGCTTCAAACCTTGTCCACTGGGAAGAAGTTGGCAGTAGGAAAGGGAGGTATTGGTGGATGTCGTCATGTTGATAAATAGATACTGCTTAAGACTGGTTTACCTTCTAAGTGTTTAAGACTTTTTACAGTGTAGCCTTATCTGAAATAGTACAGAACTGTTCACAGCAAAGTGGAGAACAAAGCCATTTCCACCTGATGTCCGCTTTGCTGTAGTGTGGACACACCCAACTTAAATTTTGTTGTTCAAATGAGTATTTTTCCTGTGTCGAACAACTTAGTCAATGTGAAAAAGCTTAGTGGACAGTTCAAGTGTCATTACTGGTGAGAACTAACAGTATGAAAATACCTTTGTGTCAGATACTTGGCTCCTACAGAATCTTGTAAGCTACTGAAAATGGATACAAATAGTGTGACTTAAGAAACCTGCAGTGTAGGACCTCCAAAATATGAGGCTCTGTAGAATGCTACATTTAGAGAGCAGCTGCTGGTAATGGATTTTTTTCCAAAAAGAAAATTGCCAAATACTCCTCAACTTTTATGTTGGTAATTCTGTTCTGTTTTACTGCTTCTAGTGTGGGTAAATGGGTTTATTGCACACAAACATTTAGACTTCATTACAAAGTCATTTGCCTGAGCCAAAACTAAACAGTACTTGGATTTGATATTTGTTTTCCATGTTAAGAAGATTTTCACTAAGATTTTTTTTCTTTAAACTAAAATTAGCAAACGGCAAATCTCCCAAGAAATGAAATTGCTCTTGTAAGGAACTAATACATAAGAATATGTTTAATATCCTTAGATATAATATGTACACGTGCTTAGCCTTCTGGAAGGAGATACTTCATAAAATAATTGCTCTACTTTGTATTTCACCTGTCGTTTCACAATACATGTACTGTTAGATTTTGTTGAATTCAATATCTTCTGAATGATTACTTCATTTCCCCCCCCTAATTTTAGAAAGTGTTACATGGTAAAAGAAAACAAGAAATGATTCACTTGTACATTTCCCACGGGGTATCAACACACATTTTCTGGCATATTTTCTGGCTTGGCAAAAAGATTTTTAGGATTGTATTGGCAGGCAAAAAGTAATAACTATAAACAGCCATCTGAGCTACCTAGAACAGCATTCCTGTCTTCGATCTGAATACCAAATAGTAGCCCATATTGTGAAATGGCGTTTTATAACCACTAAGAGATACTTATCATATTTAGATGCATTACAGTCTCCTTACTGTGAAGGAAATTAGGGAAAAGTGTATTGTTTTTTCATAGTTTAGTCTTATATCGTTCTTGATATTTTGCCCTCATAAAGCATGGAAAGAATATACATTTGTGGATAGAGGGCATTCAACTGTTTAAAATACGTCACTTAGTGACTAGCCTGTGTAAATAACTTCCTTTTGTAAGTTGAAAGTAGTCAGCTTCAAAAGTAATAGTGTTTTTAGTTTCTCTAGAAGATTGTGATATTAATGATCCTATGTATTAAAGAGGAAATTGGAGAAATAGCTAGTAAACTGAAAGGATGGGTTTGTTCATCAAATTATTTGCAGTAGGTTTTCAGTACAGGAACCCTCTTCCTCCACCTCATCAAATTTTGTTAACGTTCGCACGTGTACAGTGTGCGTACAGTGTGCATGTGTGGTACAGTGGAGACAGTGGAATACTCAGTTTTGTTTTAATGTTTTCACTTATTTTAGTGATTCCTCTGTTAAACATGGAAGTCCTCCAAATTTGACCATTCGGTACAACACATAACTAATTTGGATGTTTTTACTCTATTTCCCAGAAATGGGCAAATCTGAGCTGGATTAGGGTGGGTGTTGTGTTCAGATAAGAACAGCAAACTGCATTCCTTTGTGCATTAAGGTAGCTGAGACTTTGCATGTCTCTGCGAACAGTTCTTTCTTCCTATAACCTAACTGCTTGCTGCTACTAAATCATGTGTGTTTAAAAGCTTAATGGCATTTAGTTTGATGTTGTAGCAGACTGTATCCTTGCTTGTGCTTGGCGGTCTGAAGCTTTAGTTAAAACCTGTAACAGCACTAATAGGGAGAGAAACATCAAGAGTTTTCTCCCAATTTCTCATCTATCTTAACGCCCTTTAATCCTATAAAAATTGTTTTCCTATAAAACATTTCCTTATCCAGAGTTGGTTGTTAGTGCAACAAAGCCCCAAATAGCACTTCAGGATGTCTTTTAACAGAACTATTTTTTTTAAAAGTCAAAAAGACTTTAAAAAAACATCCCTTGGAGCTGTACTGAGCTTGACTAGATATCTAACTGATCTTTTTACAAGAGATGTGACTAAATTATACTTATAATGTTTTGCAGAGGATTGTTACGTGATATTTTTACTAGTATAAACTGGGATGGTCAATCAACTGGGTTGTTCAGTATTGTTATAAAAACCCCAAAACAATCTAAAATTAATTTAACAAAATATTTCTCAATTTCTCAGCATCAGAGGCTAGGAAATGCATAAGGCAGCTGAGACAGTTTTACCTTAATAGAGCATAATGAACGCTGTCAAAAGCTGTGAATATTTCTGGTTGATACTCAGTGCCTAGCTAAGGAGAGCAGCAAGGCTAGGCTGAATGTTACTCTGTCATGCAGGGCAGATTTCACGTTGTGGAGTCAGTAATTCCTTCATACAATTCCTGTATACGTATGTAGTAATCTAAGATGTGCAGCTCTATGCCAAAACCTTTTTGGGATCTTATGGTAGAATGTGAATTGCAAGTGTGCAAAACCATACTTGTGACTCCTGGTGCAGATATTTGCCTATGTCAGATGCATGTAGGCTTGTCAGCTTCCCTCACCAGCATATATGAATCCTTACACAGCCTAGCTGACCCTTAAAGGACTTCCCCAAAGCTGCCTAGAACTGTAATCCTTTACTTGGATTTACTGCAGAAAGTAGTGGATGTTTCAGTGGCCTAATGTTAATGCTAGACCAGTTTTATGACGAAAATTCAGAGAAGAATATTGTGGAGGAAGCAGGAGCATTTAGTCTGATCTTCATTTAGATTTGTAGATCAGTTTAAACATTTTTGGCATGAAGAAAAATCCTATTTATTTTAAATCTCTGAAATATGTTTCAAATTGAGCAAAAGTGCTTTCGTCCCTTAGTGGCTCCACACATGATCTGCACAAGTGTTTGTGAAGACAATAATAGGGCAAAGGGAAATGGATGCTAATAAATCAATTGGCACTGTCAGTTCACTGTTTAATGTTCTCTAGAATACATAAGATTTATCGCTGAGGAATTGTAGAATAATGGTAGTGTATGGAAACAAAGTCCACCAGGGAGATGTACTACATCATTCGGATTTAGCGCTGCCATCTGCTTAATAGCATTGAGATGACTACAGAGGTACTTATGATCAACCATTCATAGCGGTGACAGATGCTGCAGAGAGTTAACATGCCAGAGAACGAGGTTTGTTACTAAAATTCAGATTATGTGACAAGGTTGCCGAGAAAGGGGGCTGGGTTTGTTACCTCTCCAAACCGTATTAAAGGTTTACTGTGTGATTTTAAGTTTACTATCAAGAGAGAATGACTTAACACAGTTACTGTATTACAAAAAAAAAAGAGAACCCCATCTGTCTGCTTCGTGGCACTCAGAAGTTTCAAGTAACTTCTTGAGGCTTGTCTGCTAGCATTTAAAACTGGATATTTCTTTGCCTAGAAAGAAAATGTTTTTGTTTAGCTTCATTGTTCTTTACCTACAGAGATCAGCAGTCTTCACTATAAAAGGAATAGTTTATATAACTATATGCTTGTGTCTGTTTAGGGGCAAGAATAAGTCATTCGTGTGGTAATGTCATTTTGTGTTTAATTATAACTTATACTATTAAAACTGATTTAGATCTTCAGTCAGGTTGATCTCATCTTCACTCTGTTGCAGAACTTAATCTAAACACTGATATAGAAGGGAACAGATTAGGATTTAGAGCAATTGCTGACTTTGTCT